AATTTAGTTCCCCAGCAGAGTCGCCAGTTCTGTGATACGGCGGGAGAACTGACTGTGGTTTTGCGTTCGTATTCGCACTTGTGCGATTGAGCAAGAGTCGCCACCGAATTTTTATTTTATCCTAAAGGAAAGGTTAAAAAAGCACAGCAAAAACCTTTTGAGATGTTTCGTGGGTTCGGGGGGTAGATTATGAAAAGGGAAGGTATTAGCACCCTTTTCATCCATGGTTATCCATGGGCTCTTAGTTACTTGGTTTTTAGATCACTTGCCTTGATTTTCGATTGCTTGAAAATGGTGTACGTGTGAGTGTTTTTGAAAATGTTTTGGAAGAAGATGCCTTGTCTTAGGCTAACCTTGTAACAATTCTTTACTCGAATATTTTACAAAGGCGTGTATCTTTTCGAAAAGATGTTCCAAAATGTTTTGAGAGTTTGTTTTGAAAGTGTTGTGGATTGTGGTTTTTGAAAAGAGGGCAAGTGTTTTTGCAAATTGATCTCAAGTAACTAAGAGTTTTGTCTACCCTATTGTACTCAAAGGTTTTTGTTATGTTTTAACCCATTTTTAACAATTTTGTTCCACCATTGAATTTGGTGGACAATCTTGCGTTTAGGAAGTTTATTCGGGACGGGCGCGGGTCATCGGATGGACCATGAATGCAATGATGCCAAGTGTCTTTGGCAATTGGCTTTGAAGGGACTATGATCATTCCGTTTAGGCAACACTCGAAAGCGTCATCGAGGGACTTATGATCATTTGAATTTGTTTTGCCAAAGATATTCGACGTGCAAGCATGGCCCATTTTGGAAGGCAACATGTGGGATTACCCTAGAGGGTGCAAGTGTGATTGTGTATTGATTTCATGTATTTGTTTTGTATTAGGTTATCTAGCGTTTGATTTTATGTACATGCAAACCCTAGGTCTAACCATGGTATAATTGAAAGCGGTAAATTGCGAAAATGTAAAGTCTATGCTATTACAAAATTAGTATCCGGGAGTGGGGGTACATGTGTATGAATGGGGATGAGACTTATAGTATCCAATAAGTTACAACCAAATCGAATTTGCGATCAAATATAAATGACAAATATCAATGTATAAGATAAACGAGTGTGTATAGGAGCAATGTATTGTGTATTTGTATTGTTTTGTGTACAAGTATATGCGTATGTGATTATTTACAGGTGCGACAATAGGAATTTAAGAAAGTATTGTTTGGTAATTGTTTTGACCTAAAGAAAAATTAAATGTTTATTTAATTAATCAATGATCTTGTATTTTTTTAATATGTACAAAAGAAAGTTTTAATGAAAAGAACATGTTTTCTGTTTAATTATATTGTGTATAAAATGATGTTTTAAGAAAAGAAAATATTTCTAAGTTTTAATTATGTATACAAGAAAGTATTTTTTTCCATTTGTTATGTACAAAAATATTTTAAGAAATTAAATTACGCAAAAATGTATATTTACTTATTATGTACAAAAGTATGTTTTAAATAACAAACAAGGATTAAATTAGAAAAAATGTATTTTAATTAAATGTTCAAGAATTTAAATTATGCAAAAAATGTATTTATCTACTATGTACAAATAAAATTTAAATTAGATATTTTAGATAAAAAAAATTTTTATATGTTTTAGTATTAATGTAATATTGTAAAGAATATGTTAAGTTAGAAAACAAATAGATTGTGTTAAAAAATGTTTTTAAGTATAAAAGAAAAGGATTTATGTTAATTTATATATGATGATAAATAAAAGGTTTGAAAAAGGTTAGAAATGGGCTCAAAGAGGTTAAAACGGATTAGGCCCATTGCTGAAGCAAACGTTTTAGGGTTAGATGATCTTGTTGTTCAGTTGGACGAAACACTTTAGGGTTTGTGTACAGCGGCGCGTTCATGGAGGTTTCGTTCATTTTCTTTGCCATGGATTCAGAGAGTCGTCCTCTTCGCTTAAGCCATCAGCGCCTCAGCTCTCCTCCTCCACAGTTCAATGAAGCGAACTGAACGGTAATCGCCCTTACTTCGTCTTGGTCTAGCGTATCTTTTAGAGTTTCGTTATTTGCATGTTATGGTTTACTGCTTCTCCTTGACTAAGGCAATTGATTTTGTTTGTTTTAACGAGGTTGAAAAAAAGGGGAAGAGAAAAGAAGTTTACTACCTTTCGTTTGGGGAAGGAGGTGGGCGCGGAGATGCTCGGAGGCTTAGTGGTGGAGGGGACCGCTCGATGGGCTTGATGCTAGCTTTGCAAGGATAACTGGTACCCTTTTGTCTCACTCTTGGTTTGATGATGTTGACTGAAAACCTCCTCTTAAATTTACCTCTTTCTTCTTCTTCTTTACCACTGTATGCTTGTTGCCTCTTTTCCACCCTATGATGAACTCAGAATTCTGAGGGGGCCTCGCCTGTATGCTTGAAATGTTATTGTTGCTTCTGAACGAATTTTGGTTTATGTTTCCCCTGAATACTTTCTCTCTTATTCTCTTATTGCCTTGAGTTGGATGCCTGGATTAATTTGCTTCGTACGTTGGTTTGATGGCCCGATGATGAAGAGATTATGAGGGTCTAGAGTTGGTTAGGCTGGATACTTTAGCTTGATGGTTTATATTGAACACAGGGTATACAGGTTGGTTGGTTCTGCTTATGTTGGTTATGTTTGGATTGAATGGTCGATGTTTTTGAATGGTTTTGGCCAGGTTTTGGTATTAGGCTTGAGGTTCGAGTTTAGGCCTTTGGTTTGGACTGATTCAGGCGAAGCTTGAACTAGTTTCAGGCTTGAGGTTCTGGGTTGGTTTCAGGCTTGAGGTTCTGGATTGGTTTCAGGCTTGAGGTTCTGAGCAGGTAAGGCTGATGCAGGTATTATTTGTGTTTTGTTGTGAGGCTTGGCCTGGTATTTGAACTTGTTGACAGGTTATGCTTTTGGAATTGGTTTGAATAGGTTTTGACTGATGCAGGTTTAAGGTGTTTGATAGCTTCAGCTGGTTTGTATATTGGTTTAGGACAGGTTTTGTGCTTGCTTCAAAGCCTAGGCAGGTTTAGTGTTTGACAGGGGTTTGTATGCTGGTATGGCTTATTGCAGGTTATTGTTTTGAGGTGGTTATGGTTATTGCTTGAGGTAGCAGGTTCTGAGTTTGGAGGTGTTTTATGTTTTATGGTTTATGCAGTATGGAGGTTTTGTATCTTTTTTGCTTGTCTCTTTTGACAGGATGAGGCTTAACAGTTTTTTTTCTCTCCCTTTTGTTCTGTGTTCAGTTCTTTTTGTATATTTCCTTATGCCTCCTGCCTAAAGCCTCAAAACCTGCATCCTTATCTCTTCTTTTTCTCTCTCTTTAGTACAAAAAAACATTAAAAAATTGTTTATATTTGTACTTCTCTGAAAAAGTAGACAGCTGGGAAATGATGAACTTGATTTTGTTTGCTTGCAATACAATGTTTCCTCTGCATTCTTCTCTCTTTTGACAGCTTTTTTGCTTGCTTGATATCTTGCCATATCCTCTTATTTGACAGCTTTTGACAGAAAGTTTGAATTTGGACTTGGTTGGCAATTCAGTTTGGACCTTTAGTTGGGTTTGAATTTGTGCAGTACCATTTGAGATTTGAACTTATGCAATTTTGACAATTTTGAATTATGCATTTTTTAAACTTGTGCATTCAAATAATTTGCAAACATTTTCACTCTTCTTTGTGAACCGGGAGAAATCCCGTGATTTGCAAAGAGGACTAATTGATCCCAGTTGTTGCTTTTAATGATGAGTCTAATTTAAACTGTCTGTCTCTTTAATTTAATTTAACTGTTATTTGACTTTTCTCTTTTCTTTTGCAGATGAAAAATTTGGATGGAGAGGAACAAAGTGAAGAATGAAGAATTAGGGACTTAGAAAATATTTAGAAAAATAGGATAGTTTTTATTTTCAATTTAATCATTGTAAACTATTATTATTTTAAATACTTCGTAAATGCATACTTGTATCTAAATAATAATTGTAACAAATGTTTAAATATGAAATAAAAATTCTATTGATCCATTTAATTCTTTTTATCCCTTCTCAATTATTTACTTATTATTTATAGTTCCTTAAATTAAAACAAATGAAAATTAAATTCCAGATATTTAATTCTTAGAATAATAAATAATCAACTAAACATTGATTCTTCGTTGATCAAAATAAATGAACCTGGCGCCTCCATCGTCTAAAGCAACGCACAGTCAAATGCAATAACTGATCAGACGCATTCCTTTCTTACTGATTTCTTACCAAGCACTGTAAATCCAATACTGCATATTTCTTTTGGCTGGCTCAAACAAACCAACGTGAATTCAAACCAACAGCTTCTTCTACTGATTAAATCAAAACAATGCGAATTCAACCCGAATCTCGAAATAACTTGCAAAGTGCTGTGGAATTTTAATCTTTCTGAGAATGTGCCCACAAAAACCTTAATTCCTGATTAAATGCCAAAGAGAATTCGCCTGATCACAATTGAGCCAGAATCAACCAAAACCCTAAGCCAGTTGTGTGAAACAATCCAGAGCCCTGAAAAATCAATAAAACCCTAATTTTGTCTGACTGACGAGAAAAGTCTGTTTGACCGATTCTTGAGCCAGTTTGAAAAATCAGGAAATGCCTGAAGCTGAGATTTCTTGTGGTAAAATGCGAGGGCAGATTTTGGGGTACAACACTAGGGAAATGTATAAAGAAAATATTGTTCTTGTCACTCTAGGAAATAGAGCGAATGGAAGAATCATGAGCTTGTGAAAATTGACCAATCCTAGTCAAAATAAGGTGCTACTGAGAAAACGCTCGACTACCAATATGCCTAGCATTAACCATCTATGTGATCAAACGTGGAATATGAACTTTTATAAATCCAAATATGGTGTCACCAACAAAGGAAAAGAAGTTCTTATGAAGAAGGCCATATTTGAGGAAGACATAAGGGGGTTTTCAAGGTCTCAACATTGATAAGGAAAACACACTTAAAGAGGAAAGGCCAACCAGGATGTCAGACAAGATGTCTCAACATCTTACTCAAGATTTTGAATTATTTCATGAGGATTATATAATTAAAGGGAAGGATGATAATCAGGATGGAGGTTCTCCCAATTTTGAACAACCTACAATGGTTCAGAAGAAGAAGCTAAAGAAGAGAAATGTTTGTGACTCAACTCTTCCTGTTAGAATTCTTTCTCATATGACTAGTGTGTGGATTAACGAAAATCATGATAGGGTAGTTGGTAAAGCTAGAATTGGTGTATTGAAATCTAGCTACAAGATGTATGAATCAGATAATTCTCTCTATAACATCCCTCTTGTGATTAAGTTTGATCTGGTTGTTTTTGGAAATATGAGTAATGTTCCATTCAGGTCTTGTCCTATGAGAGACATCATGAAATTCTAAAGTCTTTCTGGTGAATATTCCCAAGAAACAAATTTGAGTAATCCATATGGTGATAAAGATGTGTAAGACATCATGTCCAACATGTTGACAGAGCCTTAAGTGCATAAGGAGAATGATGATCATGTTTAAATATGTTGATGTCAATACAACTACAACTAACGATGGTGTTTTTACTAACCATGATCGTACTTTAAAAGATGTGAAGATATTGGGGGAAGGTGTGATAAGTAATAACGAAATCAATCTTCTGGTTTTACTACTAATAGAAACGAGAACAGATTGATTGCTAAAAACACACAATCTATAAATGATATGACTACCCATAATGATGAAAGTATTGATCACACTAGATTGGTAAAATCAAGAACCTATATGATATATGGTGATTAAGAGGAAAGTATCTATGACCCTATTTTCCATCTTGGAGCCATCAAATTGACTCCAAGACCATCATGTGTTCTGATTGTGAAAAGTTACTTCCTCAATAGGATGATAAAGGATTTTGTTCAACTAATGCTAACTAAGCATGGGTTAAGTGTGGTAGAAGATGTTATCTAATTTATTTATTTTCAAGTAAATCAAATAGAGGACTACATCATTGATTCCCAAGGTTTACTTGATGAAAGAAGTGACACTCGAATCTTGTGGAGTAACCCTGTGCTCAAAGATGATAAAGAATATATCCAGCATGATGTGACAGACATCTTAAGTGACATAGTGGAAACTGAGTTCCCAACTCAGAGGAAGTATGATCAAGTTATCATTGGTACCCGTGAAGAAAATTAAATACTTAAATCGAGGATAGATGCTAAAGAAAGTACCTTGGGCATATTGTTCATCAAACATAAAATGGTGGATAGCAAAGATATTCTCATAATCAAAGTGTCCTTCTATTATGAGGAAAGTATGATGAAGAGAAATTATTTATGTCACAAGAGGATATACCTTGATAGGATGTTGTCAAAAGAAACTTTGACATTTAAAGATGTTGTTCAGCTATTGAAGGAAGTTTGTATGACAGACAAAAAGAACCTCATGATAAGTTACCCAAGTACATCTAATGGATTTTTCATTTTGGTCAATAGCATAATATCTTGGGTCAGCAAGGATCAAAACAATGTGACCTTATCTTTTGATGAAGTTGAATACAATGTTGTATGGATCAATAGTTCGTAATTACTTTGGATGAAGCAAATGTTGAGGAGTATAATATGGGACAATATGTCATGACATTAGTCTAGGACATTCTCGCTAAAGTTTTGGATGCAAATCATTTTGATGAACCGTAGAGTGCCCTTGGTATTTGAATCTGTAAGGGTCTATAGCAATCGATGTTAGGTAGTTGTGCCAAAAGAGAAAAAGCATTTCTCTCCTGTAAGAGCACTTTGGCACAAAAAATAAGGTGAATTTTTTTGTTATCTCAAGATTGGTATCACTAGGTTATCATTACAAGCATGAAAAATGGACATCTTTCCTTATCCTTCTTTCAGATTATAGATCTTTCTCATATCCTTCAAGTTCTTCCACAATATGAATTCCTTATGATTCGTATATACAATCTAGTGGGAGCTTACTTGTCAAAGAAGTTGAGTTCCTAAGGATGTTGGTGATATTCTAGAGTCTTAGTTAAATAAGGCCAAGGTAGTTGAAGATGTTAGGAATAACATCACTATAGTTGAACCTTCTCAGGGAACATTAGGCCCTTAGAAGATGGTGATCACAAATTTGAATCCTGAGAAGATAAGAAAGATAGAAGATGATATTGCATGGCTATTGGAAGATTTCATGGTTAAAGATTGGATCATATTTTATTACTATTGGTTTAGAAATATGATTAGGTGATTTGTTTGATGGCTGGATGAAGATCAATTTATATTTAAATGGAGATTTAAATTTGAACTTAAATTTTAACAAATCATATCTTATTGGAGTGATTTATGGAACAGATAATATCAAACAAATTCTACTTTATTTCTGGACGAAATCACATCAAATACCAAAGGAGAAAAACCCAGAATGCTATATAAGAGCTCAAACCTACATTGGAAAGAAAGAAATACATTGAATATCTTTATAGTTTTAGGGTTTATTTGAGTCCTTGTAAATGTTATATGTACATCACACCATGTTTCAGTAACTTGAAATAGTTGTAGGTTTGTCTAGTTGAGTTGTAACATTTAACATCATTCATATTGTTGATTAAAGTTGATCAATAGGGATTAATGATTGAAACACTAAGGGGTTAGTGTTTGAGTGAAAATATAGTGATAAAGTATCTTATATTTAGGGGGAGTCCTAAATAGAAAGTCATTGAGCAGTGTTAGGAAAAGGCATTAAAAGACATAGTGTTTGTTGTTGCTTGTAAGACTAAGTGTACTAAACTACTAGTAGTGAATTTCCTTTCTTGGGTTAGAAGCCAACCCTTTAGACGTAGGTGTTGTTGCATTGAACTGGATTGTCAATTATTATGTTCTTTATTACTTTTCTTCTCCATCATCTTGTATAAGTTAGACTTGTGGAACCAGTTTTCAGGACATCACATCTTACATTTGTCCCCTAAATAACAAAATTTCACTATTAGGTCATTAATTTCGCCCATAGATTGTTTCCAAATTTAGACCATGTCTTGTCCTATAAATAGATAGTTTCTCTATTATCTTTCATCATAAAGAAAATGGGAAAAAACTCAATTTTTATTTATCTCATAACCTCTTTAAATATTTCACACTTTCTCAAATAATTTAGCCATGGTGTGTTGAGAGGGTTCTTGATTCTAGTGTGCAATATTGTTTTGGGTGAGGGTAAAATTGTAAATCTACCAAGAGTAGATTTTTGTATAAAGTAAATAATTCTTACTTAGGAAATTTTGGTTGGGTTAAAATCATTGAAAAACCTCTTGTTTGTATTTGGGTGATTTGTCTACGTCTTTGTTTGGTTGGTGAGCTCTACCATTGAAAAAGCCCTTTTTTGGTATGTGAAGATCAACCAATTAAAATCTCCACAACGACTCTTGAGCTCATCTCGGTTAAAAGATAGATCGGTTCAAGATCAGTTTGGTGTAAAATCTTAATCGGTTTTTGAGTTCATCCTAATATAAACACTCATTAGGTTCGAGATAATCCTAGTATAAATTTCAGCTCTGTTCGAAGGATAGCCAAATTAAAACTCTCTCGATTTGTGGCCAGCCAGTATAAAACTCTGGTTTAATTTGGAGGATAGCCAACTCAAAACTCAGTCTTGGTTCAATATCAACCTATGTAAAATCTTCGTTTAGAAGTTAGCTTGAACTTGTATAAGTGTAAAGATTAACTGCTTCATCCGTAATTTTTTGTTTGGTTAGAAGTTAGCCTAAAACTTCATTTCCTTGTATAAGGGTTTTTTTGGGTATAACCTTCTAATAGCTCTCAAACATAATGAATACTTTCAAGAACAATTACTAGGGACAATATTAGGTCTTCTTGGAAAAGCTTGTATAATTCATGGTGTTATTTCTCTTTTTTGGTCTCTTTTACTTTCTAGTTATTTTCTTTACTTTAAATCTCTCCTGCATATTTGCAACTATTTCATGAAACAGTTTTAATCACAGATTTCTCAAATGATATCATTTTTAAATCACCAACCCCCCTATTGTGTGTGGAGTTACATGTCCAACACCACTGGTGGAGCATCAATCAGGAACAATGTCGCAACGAAAAAAATGAGATTAATCTATTGATTAACTTAACTCAAAAAAGCAAGAGTCAGCATATAACTTTATTGTTTCCAACCGGAAAAGGTCAAAAAACCCATAAAAAGTTTTAAAAACAAAACAAAAGAGAGGTTTTAGGTATGGGGGTTGGTTATGCAAGGGGAACGTATTAGCACCCCTCACATATATGGTACTCCATAGGAACCACTTGCGTTTGTTTATGAAAATATCTTTTGTTTGTTAATTGTTTTTAGGTGAAAGAACATTTTGTCGTATTCGGGTGGAAAACTCAACTTACTATCCACGAGTATGAGGAAATGAACATTTGCATCATCTTGATATGAAGAATTTTTCTTGGATTTACTCAACAAGCATGTCCAACATTCAAGTGGAAAATGTCAATCAATTTCACAACATATTGTATAAGTATAGGAATTTGCATCACTTTAAGAATATACTCATGACCTTTCTTTCAGAAAAAGGGTTGGTTTGAAAAAAAAATGAACTAAGGCACAAAAAGAAGTTTGATGAGGTTTTTCTCTTTTAGGGGTTTTGAAAGATTTTGGATATGCTTAAGTGTTTTAGCATGTTATTAAGAAAAATATTTTCTAGATTACTTGACAAAGTCATGGTTTGCTTAAGAAAAGATCTAAAATTTGAAAACAAGAAGTTTTGAAATAGGAAGAAGATTTTGAAAATTAAAGAAGGGGATGATATGAAGATATTATCATAAGTCATAAAGTAAAGAACATGAAATAAAAGATATCATTGTAAGGTAGCCCAAGAGAAAGCCTTTGTGTGTGTAAGTGAACTAACCATAAGAAGAGCAAGTTTTCGACATTTGTCAAAACCAACATTTCTTTCCCTTTGGATTTAAGCCACAAGTTGATCAAGCGCAAAGAGAAGATGAACATAACAAAGCACAAATAAAAGTCACAAGGTCTCAGAATATGGTAATGTCTCAGATACTACAAAAGGTCCAGATAATTCTAAGTCTCAAGTACCACAAAGTATCAGATGAAATTAATGCCTCAAATAAACCAAAGTATCAGATGAATTCCAAGCTCAGGGAAAGTAATCATGGTCCCAAGTCCAAAGTACAAAACTCCATATGCAAGGGATAGTGTCAGAAAGTCCTCAAGAGCACATTACAAGTTTTTAGGGTTTTATATTTATTAATGTCTTAAGCCTTTGAAGGCAAGAAAACAAAATAAAGCAAAATATAAAAATGAAATGAAATGATAAATCACTTGAATGATAAATGAGAAGAAAATAAAGTTCACAAAAGTAAAGGGAAATAAATTAAATGACA